ACCTAATTTAAAAACTGGAGTAATGGTAGCCTCTTTGAGTTTGTCTGGAAAGGTGTTAGTTTTAAGCGATAGATTAAATAGATGTGATAATGGTTTTTGAAATAAATCAGAACATCCTTTAAAGATATAGGCAGGGATATTATCACTACCAGTGGCCTTTTTTGGCTTTAATTTTTTTATACTAACCTTCACATCTTCTTCACTAATAACTGAAAAGTTAAAAGATCCCTGTGAACTACTCTGATGTGTAGATGATACCTGATAAATTGAGCTAAAATGATGAGAGAAAGCCATGGCAATATCCTGAGGGCCTGTATAGGTATGATCATTTAAAGACATCTCGTGAGGAAAACCGTTGGTTTGTCTCCTACTTCTTATGAATGTCCAAAAACTATTTGGGTGATGCAAAATGTTATCTTCAATATTATTTTGATGCTGCATAAATTCATTTTTGATTTGCTTTTTAATAGTATTTCTAAGACTCCTGAATTTATTGTTATCGACAGCACTAGCTTTCCTTATTTTTATATGTTTGCTTAATTTGTTTTTTTGTCTGATTTTTTTAATAAGGTCTATACTAAAATAAGCTGGATATTTCTGTTTTTGTCTATTTTTAATAATTTTCTTTGGGATGGCTTGATCAATGCAGTCATACAATTTATCGTAAAATTGATTTATACAATCTGTAGCAGTTATACAATTATACATATCTGACCAGTCAGTGTCTCTTATTAATTGATACAGAAGATTAAAGTCCCCCCTGGCATAATCATACCTATAAGACTGTTGTATATTACTCTTAGTGTATGAATTATCTTTATATTCTAGTAACATTTCTAATGCCGGGTGATAATAATCTTCAGGTACCAAAGGAGACCCAGACCTAGTTAGATTGGTTATGGATATGTTTGACAGTATAAGATCAAGCAGTTTATTTTTACAATTTGAAATTGTATTATATTGATTTAAATTGTTTAGATTTTGAAATTCTTTAAGCATGCTGCTCTTTTCACAACTTAAGTTAATAAATCCAGGAATATTAAAATCTCCAAATATGATAATATTAATATTTTCTAACAATACTTGGTTATAAAATTCTAAAAGTTCTTCATAAATATCTAACCTTACACCAGGAGGTATATATACACAGGAGACATAAAATGAATATGTTTTAAACCTTACCTTAAGTAGCAAGCACTCAACAATTACATTACAATTAACTTTAATACTTTCTACAATAAATTTCTTTTTTAATGCTACCATAACTCCACCACCCAATGTCTTGCCACTGGCCCTATCTTTGCGAAAGACTATGTAGCGATTATCAAAAAGTTCTTCATTGGAGATTCCATCTATAAGCCATGTTTCAGTTAATAGGATTATATCAAAATCTTCACTAAGAACATTGGTATATAGGTCACTTGTTTTAGTGCGTAGGCCTCGTACATTTTGATAGAAAATGTTTAGATTTTGGGTCTGCAATATTTGCATCATTAATTCTGATTCTGAGGATCCATCTGCCTTGTTGGCATCCTCGTTTTTACTAAAAAATGAGACACGAGGGTACCAGATGGCCATACTTCCCTCTTCCAAGCTTTTTTTAGTTCATCTCTTCTGATGGTAACTTTCATGGATGTATAAAGTTCAGGGTGTTTAGATGGATGAGACTCACACCGTACATCCTTAAAATTGGGGTCTAAAAGCCGCTTCAAGTCTTCTGTGGTTGTATTTGGTGCAAGCCTAGTTACATGAAGGGATACACACTTAGGTACTGACTGCACATCCTTGGTTTCTTCATTATTCCCAACCATAAACTTGCGGTACCTCCTTCTATGCTGCTGTTGCCAATCTCCTTCATGATTTTCTGTGTGGCCTAAATTTATTATTTCTTGCATTTTATTAGCCGTATGAGCATGCAGAATACCAGCGTTTAAGTTCTGTTTATTAACGTCTGTATTTTGTTGATGCGTTTGGTTAATGTTTTGTTTTGATTTTGAATTTAATTCGTCAGCTGATATCTGCCTGACAGCAATGTTCTGTGTCTGTGGTATTGGCGTAGCAACCGCAGAACTGTAACTTTTATTTGCAACGTTGCCAGTATTCATCTTTAATAATGATATATTTTCTTTTAATAGTTTAATATTTTCTAATAGGACATGCTCTTTAGCTTTTAATTCAGAAATAAGTTCATCCTTACTTTTAAGTAATTCTTCTTTGGCAGCTAGCAGCATTTTGATGTTTTCGTTAAAGTTTTGTTCTGGTATAACCTCACTTTCTATAGCACAGCATTTCACTAAGTTATTTTTGCCAACAACTACCAAGCCAGCTACCCTTAGAGCACAAGATGGATGGAAAACTGCTTTACACGTTACACATCTCACAATAGTGGTAACAACATTTCTTTCGCAACCTTTGCAAGTTTTAATTAGATCGCAATTCGCGGCACTCTCTTCTCCGGCCATGTTGCCATGTATGTCATTGCTTTAGGATATTTTGCGCGTCAAATAAACAAGAATTTTTCCGTTTATGCTTTTGTTTATACCAGGTTAAGTGAACGATTTTTAAAGATAATGAGATCACTCTTGGTGAAGCCGCTGTTAAAAGGGTTTAGTTTTATTGGGGTCCAAATGTTTCTTTAAATTCGTAATACTTTTTCGTTTTTCATCTTTTGTCATGGGAAAATGTGTAGTATAGCGGCAGTATGAAGTTTTATTTTAAGTTAAAATGAGGTTTTGTAAGGTACCTGAGGGATTTGTAACACGGCGTTTCGAACAGTTTAAAAGATGTCCACGTGATTTGAGTTTTTGAAAAGCCAAGCTTTGAAGATTGCATAATCAGTGCCCGAGCTTCCATCGTCTATTTGTTGTCCCTGGTCATTTCAGACCATTTTGCAGCTTGTGAGACGCATTTGTGTTGTTTTGCAGTGTTTTGAATCCAGTTCCAGCCCCAAAAACCTTTAAAGGAAATACACTAGTCCGTGATATCAGGTACTTTTTTTGTTAGAATTTTTCAAAGTAAAAATATACATTTTTCATTAATAATTGCTTTCACGACAAATTAAAAGTAATTGTAATAAATAAAATTATAAATTTTAGAAATTGACTATCTGAATCTTGATATATGACAGTTAGCATTATTTTCTTCGGACATTTGGTACATATCCCATAAATTTTGAATTGTTTTGATTGTATTTGAAAGGTTAACCTAAGTAAGTAAGCTCCATTTATTTATAATAAGTATTTAAATAGTTACAACTGGTTGTTGTTTTGTAAACCGATAGCACCATTGTAAGTTGTTTCTGTATTTTTTTATTATTATTTGTATTTGTAACTGTTTATGTTAAAATAATAATAAATATGTAATGTTTCTCCCTAAACCAAGTGTAGTATTATTTCCTTTAAAAAGATTCTAACCCTTTTTATGTATTTTTTAAGAAAGAAAAGCCTATCTTTCCACCCAGCAGGAAGATTCTTGTAGTCGGCGTCCAATTTAAATAGCTTAGAAACCTTGTGTTCTGTTGTCCAGGAAATCCATGTAAGTACTTTTTGATTTCTCTTTTTGTAGTTAGCTCTTTCCAGTCACCCTTTTTTATCCACCTACTCACGACCCAGCTCTTCAATCAAACCAAGAGTAGCCGTTCGCAAACGTTCCTGTTTATTTGTTCTATCTCCAGCCCAGTTATTGTTCAGTCCCCATTTTCAAACCCCTATATGTGATACCCAATGTGGTAGGCAATATAACCGCCACAAAGTAAGCCGTAAATAAAAAACTAATGTATTAAATATAGTGTTATGATAGCATTACTACGTCCATGATGGAATAGAATCGAATCAAATTGCACCAATTTAGAAGCCTGTGGAATGATTCGACCGACAATTATAGAGACCAGAGATCTCTAGACGCATAGGTGTATGGTATAAATAGGAGAAATTAAATTGTTGAGAGTTAGACTAATAAATATATTTGAAGCGTTAAGTAACTAAATTGTTTCTTTTTTAGTGTTATTGCTAAATGACTACATAAATTAAAATAAGTGTTGACTGTAAATAAAAATAAAATAAGATTCCACTAGATAAATTTTTCGATATAATAAACATTTTGATGAAAAACGTTTAATAATGAATTTACTGATGCTAGGTACGATAACGATAATTGTAAATTACACTAATTTGAATCACAAAGTAATAATTTTCATTGTTGGATTATTTATTCAACTAGTTATTAATCTTTCGAAAATACATAAGAGATGAATTAATACTATAATATAAATAAAAATAGTTTTTACTAACAATTGGTAAGGTGTTATTTAATAATTAAGTATCTAAACAAATTGATAAAAAAATGTTGTTATCTACCTAGTTTCATTTTTTAAAATAAATGTAGACTTAAGGTGCCTTTATGAAACGCATCTGATAGAGAGTAAAGAATTCGGATAGGAAAGGAGTCGGATAGTTTGTAGTGACCAAATTTTTATTTGGTAAAACGCATCTTCAACACGTCTGTTGTTGCAACTGGGTCACTTTAGCGGACCGCATATGATTAAAATGTAAATACAGTTATTAAAATGTTATGAACCCATATTATTTTGATTTTCGTATTAGTAAACAACTTATTTGTTAGGCACCTTGTACAATTAGTAGATTCTGTTACATGTATACGTTACCCCTGTCATTTTCTTGATCTCTATAAGTCGCACAAGTTCAAACTTATTTAATATAATACACAATTTCCCAAAACTATACACTAAACCAGTAGAGGATATCAATGCATCTTCTTGCACACATATCTTTACACAGCACAAATACATAGGTACATACAAAAATTAAATTAGTTTTATGTATTGAACTAGACAATAATAGAACTTGTTCATAAATTCCCAACATAAGACACACATATTTTAGCTAGAAGCGAATTAAATGCATCATACCAAAGCTATTTTACAATAAGCGATTTTTACAACATAAACTACGACATTGATAATATGTATCATGTTGACTTACCGGGTCAAACATTCGAGAAGAGAACTATTGTTAAAATAAAATAAAAATATGTTATTTTATATACAAATTAAAGTTATTAGTTGTATGAAAATTCTTTCGAATAATTTTACTTTTTGTAATTTTTTGTCTCTATTTAATATATAGAATATTAATATATTCCACCTAAAAAATCAGGAATTTAAAATATCAGGATATTTAAGAAATATTTAAAAATCAGGAAATACTAAGAAGAAAGTAATGCATGGAGTAGGTTGTGCCGACATGGTACCTTCGTTTCGCAAATTCCCGACTGTAAACAAACACATGTGTTGATATTCGCCCTCTCATTCGTCAAGAGGCAATTAAATATAATTTATTGCCGTAAGTCAGACGGATTCTCATTTTATAGGTCCAAACTTGCCAATATGTTTAAATTTAAATTGTTATTTTAACGTGTTTGTTTTTAAGTTAATATATTGCGTGTTATATGTTATAGTTATTGTTAAGTTTATTACTGGTCGTGTTATTTTTTAGAGTTTAAGTGTTAGTATTAAGTTTTATAGTGTATAGTGAACTTCTAGTATCCAAAAATAAAGTATTTGTTAAATAAAAGTAAAAATTGGTTGCGGTAATCACTTTAATAAAGGTAAGAGAAACCAATATTTTAATTTATTTATGTGTGGAAAAGTTTTATTTCCTTTTTAGTTATTCACGATTTTTGCTGTAAATATTAAAGAACCACTTGGATTAACATGAAATTTGGCATATACATAGCTAAATTATCCTGCAGGTAAATTTTTATGTGCTTTTTCATTTCAAGTAAATTTTAAAATAATAAAATTTTCAGGAAAAGGAAAAAGACTAGATGATGGGTTTGTTCCAGAATGGCTATGAGTGTTTGAATGAAAAAAGGTGGGGACTACCATAAAGAAATGGAAGGGAAATCTTTCGAAAATTTTTTTAAAAATATACTGCCCCGATTAGAAGACAACTCTATTATCGTATTGGACAACGCGTCTTATCATTCCAGAAAATAGAAAAAAATTCCAACTACTGCTTTTAGAAATGCTGACATCCAAGCGTGGCTGAAATAAAAAATATAGGGTTTGAGGACTCCATGTTAAAAGTGCAACTGCTGGCTATCGTTAAGGAACATAAGGGACGATATAATAAAAAGTTTTATCATTGATGAGATGGCAAAAAGCCAAAACAAAGTAGTGTTAAAGCTGCCCCCCTACCATTCTGAGCTCAATCCCATTAAGCTCCTCTGGACAGAAGTAAAAAATTATGTAGCAGCCAAAAACACTACTTTTAAATTTGCAGATATGAAAAATATTGTTTATGATGCAATAAATAATATTAGTCCAACATGGCAGAAATGTGTGCAACACGTTCAACAAAAAGTCGAGTCCAAATGTGGAAGTTGCACAATATAATAGAGAACCATATCGAACGCATAATAATAAATCCAGACGAAGACAGCAGCACACGTAGCTCCTCAGACTCTGAGTAATTTAAATAATATGTTTTTATGCTTTGATTAACTTATGACACTGCTACTTTTTTCAAAATGTTCACTTTGTTATGAATCTCTCAGTTAATGAATATTTTATTTTAGCACATGTTTCTTCAATGGAACATTAAATTTTGCTCACAATGATTGAATTTCAAGAAATTCTTGTACAACTAGTTTCAAAAGTAAATATTTTTAAAAATCGTATGATACATCTCAATACCACCCAGTTTGGCTTTCACGTGCGTTTGTTGACAGTTGGGAATGTGTAAAATGAATGTAGTTTAGTAGGTTATATTTTAAACAGATTTAAAATTTGTGAAATACCGTCACAAGTAAATAAAGAGACGAGGTGGAATATTTCTTACATAAAAGGTGATTGAAACGTTAAAAAATTAGTGCAAATGAGAGAATAAAGAAGTACAAAAAAGAGAATAAAGAATGGCATCGATATGAGACATAGACCAGTGTCAGGAAGACCGTGCAATGACACATGTCGATTTTTGTCAGTAGCAAGACAATTTTGGTAATCATTTTATATATGTTGGAAGTTGGAGAGCAATATCTTAGCCTGGTGTTACACCTCTATGTATATGTGATGGCGCCACTATTAGTACAATATACTTTGAGCTACTAAATAATTTTCTCCTGAAACAGCATATTATATATAGTGAGGGAGGTGGCGCTTTCATCAGGGTAATCCAAAACGCCATACACTTTTGCTTATAACCAAGCTTGAACATCATTTGGGAAAAATTTTAAGGTCAGGAAGTTCACCAAATCTTTGTGTCACTAAAAATATCAGGATTAATCAATTAATTAATTATTTGCAACCATGACCTACCATCCATCAATTAATAGAGTACCGGCATGTAAGTAATGTTTGTTTTGTTTTGTTTTATTTATTTGCTCATTTATTAATTTATTACAACAAAAGATTGCTACTTTATACCAATTGTGGGCCTTACCTTGTCTGTTACTACCTTTTATATATTCAAATTATTCATTTTGAAAACCACAGACATGTAATATTGGCATAATTACTATAATTTGTATGAACTAATTTATTTATTTGTTTATTTTATCTTTATGAGACACCACCCTAATTGGGTTTATTTTATTGCAGCATTAGTTTAACTTTGTATCTCGACCTGAAGATGCTTTGCAAATTATAGAAAGCGAAACCGGTCGTCAGATTGTTAAATTAAATTGATTGTGAGTAAGTCTTATTATTATTTCTTTACCTATTTGATATGGACTCACACAAGCAACACATTCATGATTTGAATTAATTAATTATTTAATCAGAAAACTGAGCTGAAACCACCAGCGTAACGAAATAAAGGTTTGATTCGATCAGTTTTACAGGCTTAGAACAACATTACGGAATATTATGCCAGTGGCCTAGTCTCAGATGTCCTTGCACGTTTAGTTTTCTTCCTAATGTGTAATACCCCATTTTGAGTGTAGGAAACTCATCTACAGATATCTGTGTTATGTATCGTTAAATTTACACGGATATACAGAACCTATAGTTGAAAGTCGACAACGAACGACTAAGTTTAGAGAAGCTGTACTTAATTACGACTTGTGGTCAGAGCCTTCAAAGCGGCGACCTAGAATATACTTTTTTTTCTAGTGAGAATATAATCCATATCATTCGCCACCAAATGTAGATACACTCACCTCTGAGCTACCTAGGCCGCAACAAATTGTAAAAGTAAATGAAATGAATCATTTTAATTCATTGTATAATTCAAGTACGTAATAAAAATATATACAGAAATATTAAATTGTTGGATATTTTCTAGGCGGAATATATTAATCAGTACTTATTAATATTTTTTTCTAATATACAAATAACTAAAAATGAATCTGAAGCTATTTTTCTAATTAACACTATGATTTTCAGTACTCGAAAGGTTCTCATTGAAAAGAGTAGCGCTCTGGAGCATAGTAAAGAACAAATAAGTAAAATATGTCATATACAAATATCACGTATGAGGCAGATAAGAAGAAGAAATGTATAAATGCTCATCATTTGACAACCGTTTGCATATATTCGTCTGCAAACGATTAGTTTGTTTGGACATTATTGTTCTAATACTGAATGGGAACGTGATTAAAAAAATTAACTTTGAAGACAATGTGGCAGCCAAGCATTGTAGTTATATAAAATAATACGCAAAAACGATGAAAATTGGCATCAAACGAAAATAATACAAACAAACAATTTACTTCCAAGTGAAAAAGATAGGAAAAGATGGCATTTTTTCACTGTTGGTCATATTTATAACGGAGGAAATATACAAAATAGTAAAGTGAATCGAATAGAGAAATTAAATATACCTAAATCTAAAAAGCAATATTATACAGAGTTATATCTTCGTATTCAGCACAACCGAAAAAAAAATGTTAAAATAATTCAAAACGATACTCAAGAAAAGGAATGATTTCAAGAGAATATGATGTTAACCTGGAGGAATAAAAAATAATGTAAACATTGTATTTATATGGGATTAAACCGTAACTGATTATGATGGAAATTACATTTTGCATTTGTTTTTGACTTTTCGATTTCCAATTCGGAAATCGTTTTATGAATTAAGAAATTATTTTAACTTGTAATGTTCATCAATTGAATAACCAATTTATTGACAATTGACTGTTAATAGTGAGTTGATAAACATTACAGGATAACATACATGACGCATCAACCACGCAGGGTTATTAGCGTGTATGGATTGTTACAAAATTTGAACTTGATAATAGAATATTAACAATAACAATATATAATTAGAAAAAACCCTAAATCTATAGAGTAGAGTACTAGATTTTTGATAAAAACTTTCGCAGTCTTTAAGGAAGGCGAAAATATTCTTTGTAGTACTGTTGTTTCCGAGAGCACTATTTATTGTTGGTGGTATGTTATACATTTTGCGTTGCACTTAATATTTGCGACACTGTAATATACAATGTTTTACCGTTAAGATACTTTTAAACATGTCACACACAGTTGTATCAGCACGTTTTAGTTAGTCATGTATTAACCGAGTATGACCAATCAGAAGGCGAATGAAGGTTACTTGTTATCTTCAATTTTTTAATTTTGTAATTTTATTATGGTTGATTCGTACAGCTTAGTTGGGAAGTTCCTTCATGTATTCTGCGATATTATAGTAGTATTTTCTTTAAAACATGCCAAGAGGCTATCGAAAAGAATATATTCCTGGTTGGTCCCATAACAGCGAAACAGCGAAGAACTGTACCAAAATTTCCTTGAAAGCGGCGATCAAGAATTAGCCGATGAACTGCTCCATAGCCTAGATGCAGCGAGACAACAAAAATGGAATTAAAATGGCAAAATCCAAACATCAAATAGGCAATCATGGACATTAATAAGAAAATTAGGAAGAGCTCAAAACTTTAAAATTCCAATCTACAGAAGCCGAATACTCCCGCCCTTTCACTTGCGAAAAAGTCGCTATAGCTCTCAAGGATGTAAAACCAGGTAAAGCCCCAGGTTTTGACA